GCAGGGCCATGGCGGGGAAAGGCGGCGCCCGGGGCGAAGCCTGAAAATACCACCATGTATATATATATATATATAACTTATATACGGGACGGAGCAGCAAAAGGTCGATTTTAGTCCCCTTGTTACTGCAAAGTTCGGGAAATTTTATCGTTTAATTAACTATTCATAATTAAGGCCCTATAGATATATTTTAGTTCTAATTCTAGTGACGAATTTTAAGAAGCCCACGAAAATTCAGGTCACATATAATAAGTCTCAAACTTTGAACAGTAGCCCATACTTGGAATCATTCAATTCCTTAACCGGCAATATCAGAATTCTAAAATACTAGTGTTACAGATTATTATTTTTTAAATTTTATTCTAATGTTATGTCAAATTCAAATCGCGTAGGCTACACTCAAACATCTTTCCGCATGCCCTGACCTTAAATGCAACAGCCAAAACTGTCTTAGACCTCCTAAATAAATGAATGAACGCATTGTTAGATAGTAGTCCCTCTCATAATTACCGTATTGCGAATCGAAGCAATAAAAGATTTTGTCCAGAAATGAATCTATTTAGACTAGTAGTATAGTACTAGTCCTAGTAACACTACTAGTACTAGAGCAGCGTTTCCCAAACTTCGAGGTTTGGCGAACAAGTTTTGAAACTGCACCAATGACCAGTGCCAGCTTTATAGTTTCTTTTAATTTGATCATAAATTCAAATAAGTATAATGTATGTTGTGCGGACCGTTACCTTACCGGGTCACTGACTGACCACCTTTTTGGGGAACGCCGGAACTAGAACTTAGGAATGATACGAAAGGCTGATCATCCAAAAAAAATATTAGGGAAAAGCCGGTAGTAGTTAACTCCCTTACTTTATAAATTATAAAATAATCTGGGACAGGTTTCGGAAAATTATCACTGCAATTGAAATATTAATCTTATCTTCGATTTAGTAAAAACACAATCACTTATAATTAGTATAAATAGATTACCGGCAATCAAATCTCTTCATAATTCTTCTTCTTGATTCTTACGCCTTTTTAACCCCCGTATGTATGGGGCATAGGACGTCCAGAAGAATTTTCCATCATTCATATACAATGTTGGTGGCATACCGTACGATGTTACCAAGTTAAGACAAGATCCATTCGGTTGTGGGAAAAATTACAAGAACAGGATATAACTTATTCTTTCAATTAATTTTGTAAGCAGTGTGTATTTATTTTAAATTAAATTGGAGTGCATCCTATTTGGGTGCTGGGTGGCGGAGTCGTCTAGACGGAGCCAATCTCAAGGTCATAGTCTGGAGTTCAATCCCCACCAGCACCCGGGATGGATGGGATTCGTTAACCTTGGATGGCAACTCATCCAAGAGAAGGCAACTCATCCAAGAGAAGGAAACTCTGAATTCAGACCCGGGGATGGAGTCCCGTAGGCGGATAACATTGACATAACGAAACATGGCAAGATACTAAAAAAGGTAAACTAAAATACATATCAAGTTGTAGTTGTAAATTGAAAAAATTCTTCTTAAGTAGAAGGAAATAAGTAAAACAGAGTATCTACTATAAGAACTTCGGGCTTTCCCATACTTTTGTTTTCTGACTATAGATTAACAGAGATGATTGACTAGTCATGAGGTAAACGACTTTCATATCTACTTTGTTGATGGGGGAGGTCTCTCTTGTTTGTTTCCAATGTCATGTCCATACTTCAGCACCGTTGAATATAATAATTAGAATACAAGTGAACTGAGAGCAGTTGAAAAGAAAATGACAGTTGTTTTAATAGTGAGCATTACATTGACAAATCAGTACACACAATTCATGATATGATAATTTCTCAAGTCTCATTTCCCAGACGTCATCAAAGTGTTTAGCCTAAACAAAGTAATACACGCCCAGGTAGTTTCTGTTTGATGTACCGCAGCAGATTTGTAAACATAATAATGCAGTCATCCGTGGCCCACCCCTGAGGAATACATTGGACAGTGGTTATGGCTTCAGACACGCCGCCATAGTCTTTGACGCAAAACAGACCAAAAATAAAGAGTATCAAATGATTGAAAACACATCTGACCAGGCATTAGTACAGATAAATATTAACACATGGACTTGTTTCAACGGACTGAAAAAGGGCCTGAAATGCATGACATAGTTTAGGGCAGACAGAGCGCTAGCATAAAAATCCCTTTTTTTTTTTTTAATCAGATTTTTCTTAATTAAAATCTTTTTAGCAACATCTCATTGGTGGAGTGCTCTTCCCCAGCCGGTCTTCGCATTACTTCACATAGTTTAGGGCAGACAGAGCGCTAGCATAAAAATCCCTTTTTTTTTTTTTTTAATCAGATTTTTCTTCATTCACATCTTTTTAGCAACATCTCATTGGTGGAGTGCTCTTCCCCAGCCGGTCTTCGCATTACTTCACAAAATGAATAACAATTCTTGTAACAGTGACAGCTGGGCTCCAGACGCCCTAATAATGACATTTATTGATAGGGATGGGATTCAATTTCTAGAGAATGAAAACAATGAATCATGTGTTGTAAGAAGGCAATGACGTTTTTTTGATATAAGAGCTGCTGTTGAATAGTTGTTTTATGGACACCGTGCACCTACTATGACACAAAAGTAATCCCTCCTACACAGAAATAAAACAGGAAGTCATCACATCTTTGAACCTAACAGCCACGTAACATAAGATATTCAGTTGGGATGTAACGGATTAATTCATATTCAGATGACAATCCTGTAGGTAAACATGTATCAGACACAGTTCATGATAATTTTTGTTTTTAGCTTTGACACTGCTCATAGAAAAGTCTGTTTCTTTCTGTTTACAAACTCAACAGAACAATTATTTATGGTTGGTACTTTGATTCTGGTCATGTTATTTTAAGTAGAATAATCAAATAATTAACAAACATTTTCTGAAGAGCAGAGAGACCGTACAGCCCTTACATGACAATCCTTGACCAACATTTTTAGAGCATTAGGTATACTATACCAACCATATAAACAACGTATTAAAATAAGAAATGCTATTCATAAATTTAACAAATCTTTAAACAGATAATAAAACACAGCTGTTTACTGTTTATTATTGAGTATCAATAGATGTAACAATCGTCACCATTAGTTGGTACGGTAAGGTGAAGTGTAATACTTGAATTGAAACATGTCACAACAACCGCATGTGGTGAGTTCAGTATCTGGAACAAAACAAACAAGACTTAACATGAGGCAGTGGCGCCAACCACTTGAGGGCCGCCCATGATCACGGCATCAGGATGGACCCAGCACAACAATGAAATCTTGGTCAAACCGTGGCCAGGTGCAAATAACAATTTTAACAGCGTCGCAGACCCAGGGAGAGAGAGACCACCACTTTTAAAAAGTCAACCAGGACAACCCGACCACAAGAAAGAAAACCTGATGTGAGGAGGGAGGTGCCCATAACCGATACTTTCACGAGTAATTGACCTGCCGATGCAAGTGGGTGATGTCATATGCCCAGCACAAGGTTGGCATTCAAACATATTGTTTTCAAGAGGAGACCAAGTAACACTTACTCGTTACACAATATAAGCCACAGTAACAGCTCAACCAACACTGAAATTAACATATATCTTAGTTAAGGATTTGTACAAAAATCTGACTGTGGGAAAGAAAAAAAAAGTTTATCCACACAATTACAAAGCTGCCACTCAGAGGGTTAAAGCTCTTTATGCGACTACACCCAGAGCATTGATGTACTTCCAGCTAGCGTGGCCCTGGTGTAATTAATCCAACCCAACATCCATGTACCGCTTCCCTCCCGCAGGTTAATAAAGCTCATTGTAAATGTACACCTATGACAAGATCCCTTGGAATGAATGCATACAAACTTGGCTGCAAGGCTTGATCGGACCATTGGCTTCATTTTACCATCAGGGTTTACACGTTTATAAATATTTCACCCCGATGACTATGCATTGTGCAAAAAAAAAAAAACCCACCCCCCTCCTAACCACCACCCCCAACCCCCCCCCCCAAAAGAGCTAAGTTGTTATAACCATGGCCCTGTTGTTCATAGGAAACTAACTACAAGACAATCTCAGCATTCACACAAGGAGAACACACACCACAACATGTTGAATGAATGAAACCAAGAGAAGAAAAAAACCCAACAACTTAAGACCTCTTTGTTTTCAAACATTTGATAAAGACATCAGAGAATCGTACTTTAGTGGAAAGTATTCAAGACATTTAGAAAAAAAACATAAAAATAAAAAAACTTTGATTTTCCCAGACATAGTAGTAAAGAAGCAAAAACTTTTTGACGTGACGGTCCACAGGTGCTGCTCATATTTGATTTTCTCACAAAGCTCAACTGTCTGGAAAAGAAATAAATGAGGAAAGGGTCAGCTTGGAACAAGTTTTAACCAGATAAGGACAATAGTCCCCGGCCACTCTTGCTCATTCTTTTAACCCTAAGTTGAAATCAACAGAGGTATGGCGTAAACTATAAAAAATAAATATTATTGCTGTCAAATGATTATCCTTTGTATCAATCAATCCTAATTCAATTTACCATTGACATGTAAATTTGCATCATGAGATTTACTATGGGGTGCTATGAATAAGCAAGGAAAAGACATACAAAAAAAAACAATTTCAGGACATTTAAGGAGAAATTTGATAATTTAAGAAGTGTTCCTGGATTTTTTTTCTAATTGTAAGAGATTTCCAGGAGGCAACAGGAACCCTGTTATATCCAGTCAAAGGGATGCAACATACCCATACATTGGTGATATGCACAAATATGATGCACCATAGTTGCCAAATGTGCGCAAGTCGAGAAGATTTAATCGCATTGATATTAGTATATATACATTGTAGTTTTCTGGTAATGAAAAATTACAGGTGTGCATAACGGAGACTACTACTTTTAAGTAGACCCTTTTTTACCCTAAACTTATCGCATTAAACAGTATTTTAATTTTATAATGTAAATAAAATCTTACCTGTCACACATCCTGGAGTTCTGGAGGGAGAGGGGATTTGGGGTGCTTGTTTTCAAAATGTTGTTTATATGTCTTGGGATCTGGCATTTGAGCCTAAAAAGTGAAATAATAATAAGTCATTAAAAAGGGAACCTTGAAAAATTTTTTAGAGCAGATTCTTGTTTGACCAGCGTAAGCTATAACTAAAATCACATCACATAAAGAAAATAACATTTTAAATTTCAAGCTGTATTATGTGCTTACAAGATTTGCCAGATGCGTCTATGTAAATAACCAACCAAAAAAAAAAATTGCTATAATTTAAAAAATAAATGGAAATGACTCCTACCTTGCAAACAGGACACATGTGCACTAATGCCTTTGCTGCCGCCTTCTTTTGATCCTGGAAGGTTGTGGCATTTTTCTTGAGATCTGCAGCCTTCTTAGCTGCTTTCTGTTGGGACTGGATCTTCTGTTGGCCACGAGCCATCGTCCCTGAGGATTTAAAATCTTTAAATTAAGTATCATCAGTTAATTTTGTGTTCAAATATTGAAAAATGCCATAATGAGAAGACTGGAGGGTTGACCGGTGTAACATTCACACGAGATACAACTAAGACCAAATAATTTACATCTTTTCACACTTCAATGACTAAAAGGTCACACAACAATGAAGTTAATTCAAAAAAGTATTTAAAAAAATATTTACTGAAAATTCTATTGAAGTACCCAGGTCTAGTTAGTGGATTTACTCATACAAACAATATATAAAATGGGGGTAGCAAGACTAAATGTTAAATAGAATAATATGATTAATATTTATAAATGCTTATTATATAAATGGTGCTAACTTTATAGCCCATATATTTAAAAAAACAGTCGCAGAGTTGGACTCTGGAACGAGAGTTGATTATTAAACTAACAAGTTCTCAACTAAACAAAGGAATGAAAAGTTAGCTATGCATTTATCCTCTCTTCTTCTTCACCCTAACGCCCCTGCATGAACTAATATGCTTAGCTAGCTACCAGTACAAGTGTCTCCTTGATCTGGTTTCAGTCAAATTTTCATTTCAGTTATACTCTTATTTGTAATAATTTTACAGCATTTTAACATTGTACCATGTTTTGCGCCAAGTTGGCCAGTACATCTGTCTTCAACATGCTTATATTTTGCTGTGGTAAGCAACAATAGTGATGCCCGTATGCAGTATATCCCACAATTGGGGTTAAAACTGGTGTGGACATTTGTTGTATCTGGAATTTTCCCCCCAGAACATCAGCATACTTGTCTGTGTCTTAATTACTCACAATTCTGCCTTTGAAACAGAAAGCACCCAAAAAATTAATTATGTTAGTCTGTATTGCTGGACACACTTATCTTCTGGAGATATTCCTCCATCCCAGCCCTACCCCATATTTATGACCATGTTCACATAAATCCATGCCTTTATATGGTCTACTCGATTGTAGATAGCTGTTCAAGGTATCCCAAATGAATTAATAGGTGGCAAAATTTAAAACAAGAAACTAATGCAGCTTTAAGCAGAATTCTCTATAATTACAATCTTACTACAAATCAGTAAGCTGAAAGAAAGCCAGAGCCAAAAAATAAAACTTCCATGCATTGTGCGGTAGCCTAGATCTTCCACAAACATTCTTTTAAGCCCAAGTAAATGTCACATGTGTTGACTAAGTCAAAGTGTAAATACATAGAAAAGAAGGATAGAAAACCCATTAAAATTTATTTCCTTTTCTTCAAAGTTGATATTATGGTTTTTATTTTATTTAAATTGTATACCGTCACAAAAAAACTTGGCACCTTACATTTTGTGAAATAAATATGATCTTCTTATCATAAATGTGCGGAGTTGCTATATGAAAAACTTTTAATCTTTAAATTGGAAGCCCTTTTTTTTTTCATGTGCCAAGTCTTGAAATTTAACATTCCCACCTTTTTTAAAAGAACATATTAATTTATGCCAAAAAGTGCCATAATTTTTGTCTAATTATCATTAATCTATCTTATATTTGAACATTTAATTGCAATGGGTCAGAACTTTAAAGCTGGAAATGTAACCTCCCCACCTTTCAGAATATATTAACTAAGTCAGAAATGTCCCGTAAGTTCTGACTGACTATAAATATATTTGAAAATTTATTGGGTCTAAATTAAATCTTTAAAGGCTATTTAATTTTTGTGTTTTGTCTAATTGCCTTAAAGAGTGTCTGGCATTTAAAAGTTTCTTAAATTCTTTTGCACAAAAGAATAAGAACAACTGAATTTGATGTGAAAATTATTAACGAAATAGAAAGATTAATTAAAAGTCATGACATTACTTAGTGCCACTTCACATGAAAATGTCCAATTATTTTACTTTTACTCCTAGTTCTTTTCAAATAATGGCATTAAAAAGTAAAATGTTGTGGAAAATACAATTTTGTTTATGATGACATCTTTTTTCATACTTTTAATGCCACATTAAAACGTAGGTTGCTATCTCTATTACAAAGTAAACAAAGGCATATTCCAATTTCACTGCTTCACTGGGTCCATGGATTTGCTATTTTTTAAATTTTGCTGGCATTTATCCGTCATAATATGATGTTGGTGAGGACTTTGCGGACAAAATCCACAATTTATTTATTTATTTAGGCATTTTTATATAGCGCTTACCATAAAGCTCTAAGCGCTTTACAATTATTAAAAACATGTAAACTAAGTAAAATAAAAATGAGACACCAGGATAGTAACAACTATACTATAGAAACAATGAAAATGGCTATAAAACGAGGACACTTTGACACGTTTTGGCCTATACTTCAGGATCAACCCGAAACAGAAAATGAGGCAGGGCAAGGAGGGTGCATCACAGGTCATAGGCGGACCTAAACAGATGAGTTTTAAGGGACTTTTTGAAAATGGACGAGGTTTCACAATGACGGATATGGAAGGGGAGCTGGTTCCAGAACGTGGGCCCATGGAAGCAGAAGGAGCGTTCACCGATGGTCTTAGTTTTGGTTCTTGGGATTGAGAGGGTTCTACTGTCAATGGAAGAACAAATGGGATTATTCTTCTAGGATTATAAGCTGGTTCTCTCGAATGTTTCATCGTATCAATGTTATACGCCTACGGGACTCCATCTCCGGGTTTTGAATTCAAAGTTTCCTTCTCTTGGATGAGTTGCCATCCAAGGTTAACAGGTCTCATCCAACAAGGGTGCTGGTGATGCTTTTGCTTGATTGGGCTTTGAACTCTTGACCACCAACTTGAGATTTGTTCAGTTTGGACTACTCTGGCACCCAGCACCCATTAATAAACTGCACCAATAAATGCAGCTTTTAACTTCAGAGCAGGAGTCCTCAAACATTTTAAAAAAAAAAAAAAAAAATGAAACAGTTGCTCAAGCACAATGCACAAAATTTAATATTTTTATTTGTAGAGAAAAAAAAAAAAAAAAAAAAAAAAACTCATAAAATATCTTAAATGGGAAGTATGCATCTGCTTTGGGCTAATGAGATGGTCAATGTTTGGTTCCATATTTGTTACTGCTACCCTGCTACCCGTACAGCACCAAGAGGGCAGGGTCAGACCCCTGGTGGGCCAGACCTGCAGGCCAATGTTTCCAGACCCCCCCCCCCGCTTTAGAATTAGAGTGATTGTGAAGGCCTAGGTAATTTGACTGCTCTAGATTTTATTACCCAGGCCTAATTAAATTATTCACCTGGCCTACATGCTCTATCATTTGTGATTCTTTAATGTTTCAATTTTGTGTGTAAATATAAATATAACAGCATTGGCCTAGTAGTAGATAGACTCAGTTAAGTTGGTAGGCCTACCTATTATAATACGAGTATGAGACCCTCCCTAGAAAATTAAGTTGATATGTCTCTAACATGAGGGGGGGGGGGAGAGAGAGAGTTGGTAGAAATGTAGCATAATGGTACTTTTTTTCAACCCGTCAAATGACAACATTTTTAACATGTGTGCATAATTTTTCTGTGTTTGTAATGGGATATTACCAAGGATAAATTTCTTTTATTCTAATTGCTTTTGAACATTGCAAGTTGAATTTTAATTTATTAAATGGACATTTTCATGTCACTGGGCTTAGGGTGAGATACTCTTGACAAATTAATTTGGCCCAATTTTGGTAGTTTATTAGTTGGTTTTGTTGTAGGGTCTAGTCACTAGTTCTAAGGACCAGGAAACTCTCATGTACATGCGGTCTGCACATACCGAAAAATGATGCAAAAACTGTTGTGCTTATCTTACATTTGGCTCAGGGAGGACTTCGTTGTTTTGCAATTTTGTCATCAGTGAAGTAGAGGGCATATTTTTCCAAACATTGCGATATCATATTTGCATCATGGTGTATCTTGTGACAGGCAACATATTTATCCTGTAGTATCGGTATGTACTTTAATAGCTTAATACTTTTTAATGTTAAGTCATAAGACAGTGTTTTATCGTAAAACTGCTCTGTAAATTCGCCTCCCCCCCCCCCCCCAAAAACAACAAAAAAAAAACTTGGGTTGTCGGAAATGGCTCTCCTTATCAATTTAATATAAAATATTTTTATTATTGTTTATCTTTAAAAATCTGTGGAACACTAATCGGTTAATGAATGAGAAACAGTTTTACAATAATATTAGTATTAGAAATTAATACAATCCAATAAAAAATAAAGAGTTTTTATTAATTTTACTTTGTGTAGTTTGGTGAATTTTGTACTAGTTTTGTCCCTTGATTAACTGGTTAACTACCATGAGCCGGTGGAAGCGACTGGGCATTTCTTTTGTTACGGACACGAGCCGCTGGTAAGCCAAGGTTTGTATCATAGTAAATCGAGTTGAATATTTAAATTAGTATGTTCCCATTTTTGCTTTGAGATTTTAATTTACAGACAGGATGTTTATATTCGAACCGCATGCTATCGGCAGAATGTTTTAAAAAATGAGCTGTTGTATTACTTGTTTACTGTAGCAACAAGTGACAGGGTTACTAAAGGCATATAAATGATTGAAAGTGTAAATATTATTCAATATCTGTGTTCATATGTGCATTTTTCTTATGACTGGATATACTATTTGGAAACTACCAAATAAAAGGCTTTAATTGATTTGGAAATTTAAAATTTATACACAAGTTGGCACATTTATATATTTTAAAAAAAAATTTTCTGTGTAAATAGTAATTTAACAATTAATTTCCCAACAAAACTTAACTTTACAAATGTTTCAAGTTTATCTTATAGACAATTCAATTACCTACAAAATGGTTTATTAATCATAAGAATATGTTTATAATTGAGAAAACTGCAGTTGAATTTGTACATACACTTAAAATGAGAAAATGTGGTCTAGATTCAATTCGGCTACAGCTGGTTTTTCAATCTGGTAGCCAATCAAATAATATAAATTAAATTATAATGATAAGTATCAGCATACCAGTAGACTGTAGTCATAGAATTCGTTTAAGCTAACAATTTTGCAACTGTATGCCTACACATTTTATCAGTTTCTTTATAGACACAATAATCAATAATAGTAACAATAATAATTGTAATTCTGTCATTAGTGACATTACTCATATAAGAGAATATCATTAATAAAATTAGTAGGCAGGCCTAGTTTTAGTAGACTAGTTAGACTAGTTGTAAGTAGGGATAAAATTCTGAATTAGAAAATTGTAGGTTGTAATATATATATTTTTGAAATAAGGTCCATGAGAACATATAAAACCTATTAAAAAAAAAATGTAAACCATAAACAACTAAATAACAGTTACCAATGACTCTTTGTAAAGAACATCTGGTTCATACTAGTTTCGTCACTATCGATATCAGGTAACCAAACATGGAATCAACTTAAAATTATTTTACAAGCTGTTCTCAAAAGACAAGTAAATCAAATTAATATTTCAAATCAGAATAATAATAGAATTATTAGCGCTGAATATTTCTTTTTTAATGACTGTAATGATGATTTGGAATTAAATCTGTAAAAAAAAAAAGACATACCAGTCCGATTCCGTACGGAAGTGCGAATTGCCTCAACGCCAGAAACGTTGTTTACTTGGTTGACCGCTTTCGCATTTGCTTGCACACGACCCCTTCAAGGCGGTGTTGAGTTTTTTTAAACATATTCTCGAATTATTATTTCATTGCTTTAGATATATTATTTTACTTCAATGCATTAAAAAAATATAATTTCTTTTCGTTGTTAATTTTTAACCAAAAGTGCTATAAATGCTTTAATAATTCTTAAAGCAAAGTAAATGGAAATAAAACATATTTATTTTCTTATAAATATTGATAAATTAAATAGTAACCTTTTCCTTCTAAAACCGCCAGTATCAACAAAACTTAAAACTAAGTTGTGATTTTAGGCTACCAATGGTTATGATTATATTATATTACTATCTTACTATTTGGCAATTATTATAATTTTGATATGTGACTGATATGAATTATTTTAATTTTAAAATTAAAAAGTATATATAAATTTGGCGAGAAAGGGGGAAAAAGTAATATTTTCATTTGTTTTACTTTTGTTTAGTTCAAGTTGGACCCAGTTCAGTTTCGGACCAGGTGGGCCTACTAGTCTAAAGACACTAACTAAAGTTAAAGCCTTCTTCACATTTCACTATATAATTAGGCCTGATAAAAATTAATATTAATTAATAGGTAAGGACAAGGAGCTAATTATTAAAATTAATGCCAATATTTAAGATTTTTGTCTTACCCTGCTCTACCAAATAGTACCATTGCATAGACTGGCCTAGGACTAGGGTGCTATGACTTAATTACTAATATTAATGAGACTACTTTACTGTAACTTTACACATTAATTTGATTAAACAACACGTTAAAGATAATATTACTAATATTACTGATGGCATACTCACAGGAATTGTAGTCTAAGAACAGACTATAGAAAATAGGACTTTCAATGTCTGAGACTGCCTAGAGACAAAAAAAGTGACCGTTCGTACTGGTTTTGGCTTGGAAAGTTTGTCTCACTGAAACCCTTACCGTACAGTTAAAGTTAAGGACTATACAATTTAATATTTGAGTTTTCATTCAATAGTGAAAATAGATAATATAAAGTACATCTGATATCCTGGGATAATGTAAATAAATGATTAATAGCACAACTGAAATGAAAGAAACATAATTAATCATGCTTGCAGATTGGCATAAAAAATGTAATCTAAATACTCAACTTTCTGTTTTGATTGAACCTCACAAATATTTTTTGTTTACATGTTTTTTTGTTTAGAATTTAGATGGCCTCTTCACTTCACATAATCGGCTTCCGAGTCCAGAAATTATGTGGTCATTGTGGGGTAACTCACAAACTCTTGCTCGCTCCTGTTACAGCTAACAGTTTAGTTCCTCAAAGAAACAACTGGAGGAAAAATTATGCAAAACGAGAGGCTAAAAAACAAGTTATATATGAAAATGTTGGTGAAAATGCAAAAAAAACATCCTTGATTTATGCTTGGGGACAAGCCTCGTCGGGGGCTTTAGGTAATGAATGTAACAGTGAAGAGCTAGTCAGTAGTATAACCTCTTCTGCAAGTTTCACCTGCATCATTTGTTTGAATATCATTTCATAATTGTTAATGATGAAAGTAAAGAATCATATACTCAAAATTTTCAACCGATTATGATAAATAATTGTGATTAACACAACACTGTTTATTTATTTGTTTTTTATTTTATAATGTTCAAATTTTACTTCCAGCACTAACATTATCCAATGCCTTTATAAATTCTTCTCCAGGAATTGCCAGCTATGTTAAACCAAACCTTAAATTCAGGGGCAAACAGATCTTTATCAATAAAATCAACAGGCCTGCTCGTGTTCGATTTTTCGACATCAACCAAATGAAGGTGGTTACATTTTTAAACTTAACTTGACTGAAGCAATTTAAATAGATTGTGTTGGTGTCTGAACTCCTTAAAAAATACAGACATTTTTAAATAATTACTTTCATTGTTGATTTGGATAAAGAATACTTTTGAGCCACTTATACATTTCTTTTTTTTTATGGTAATTTTAGTTTTAGTCAGATTTTCATTTCCAACTAAAATTTTAAAGTTAAAATGTGTTTATTTAACTTTTAAATCATCCATTTTCAATTTTCATGTCACTAGCCATTCACATATTCTCATTCAGTTTGTAATGCATAAATAAGTGTCATAAGTTTCATGGTGGTTGTCATACTTGTATAATATATTTCACACTGCTCTTTAAAAATGTGTTTCTACAATTTTATCTCCAGCCTTACGACATTGCTTGTGGCTATGGTTTCACTGTTGTAGCAGTTAAATATCAAAACAAGAGAATAGTCTTAGGCACAGGGGTCAACACAGATTCCCAGATCGGCTATCACGAAACACCAAAAGGCTCTGGTTAGTCAAAGGATGTTATGGTTATCTTTACTTATCGCTCATCTTATTTAGTTTATGAGTATATTTACAATCAAGTTATGCCCAATAAAAACTGCTCTTCTGTATGTGGCAGATTTAATAAAGTGGAGTTTTATTAAATAAGCAGGGTTTTTTATTTTAGTTTCCAGCATTAAATACATTTAGAAAAACCCCACCAGCATTAAACAGATGTGGGTGATATGTAGATTATTGCACTACTGCTCAGTATATACAGCAATGTGTCTTCAACTCCATCACAATTAATTTGTAAAAAAAAATCATCTTCTGTAGGAAGGATCCTTGATCAGCTCATTGAGCCAAGTCATATCAAGTTGCCAATTCAAAAGCCTGATGACTGTCGTGTAACATCAGTTGCGTGTGGCAGGGCCCACACAGTTATTATTGTGGAGAATGAAGGAGGTAAGATATTGCCTTTGGCTCGTTGACTGAATGGTACAGTCTGTGTCGAGTATGAGCGTTCATTAGGAATTGTTGCGACTTAATATTATGTTCATTAGTTGTTGAACGCTTTTCCCGCGCTTGACTATTATAGTTAGTGAACGCTCTTCCCGCCATTGTCTTTATGACGTATTTTTATGCTGAGTCGTGACGTATTGTCTATGCAGTGTTGTGACGTATGTTTTAGTCGTGCGCAGTCTTGAGTGGAACCTTGAAGTGATAGGATGTTTATTATATTTACTTAGATATTAAAGTTATAGTTATTATGAAAAGGAGTTGAGTTTGTTAATTGATAGTGAGAATAGTACGACGCTTCAACGTATGAAAGAACTGACGAATGTAATATTTACTTAGATATTAAAGTTATAGTTATTATGAAAAGGAGTTGAGTTTGTTAATTGATAGTGAGAATAGTACGACGCTTCAACGTATGAAAGAACTGACGAATGTAATCAATCCAAGAAGACGTTATAGGAGTTGACAGTCTGAACTGTTGAGGAAGTAAAGAAGCTTGTGGCGTGTTCATGAATGACCAAATATCATTAACTAGAGAAATAAGTACAGGCTCCCCACAAGTTTGCATACTCTCCCCTGTCCTGTATACAATATATACTGATGATATCTAGAGCCCAAGCTACACCGTTGCAATCATAAAATTTGCTGATGTTGGTGTGGGAATTCATCATCTAACATCAAACACCAATTAAATAGACTAATCAAGAAAGCTGTTAATATCACACAAACTAAACATCCTTCACTTGCAGAACTATTTGAAGAAAAATGCTGTTGTAAAACTACAAAAAATTGTTAATGATGCATTGCACCCTCTTCATCACAGATACCTAAGATCAGCTCAATCAGTGCGAATTATTTCTCTCAAAGTTAAGACTGAAAGATATAAGATTCTGTAAGAATTTATTAATAAATTAGACACGAGCAATTTGTGTTAATAAAATATAACAATGTATGTTTAGCTTTAATAATAATTTTACATAATACACAAGTAAACGTTTCGACAAATGTATGATATGTGTATATATATTATGTAAATTTAATTAATACTTATTTAAACGTTTTGTTGCTATACTGATGAAATCTATTTTTAAAGTTGTATCGCAGTCCAAAACTTTTGTAAGAATTTACCAGCATGCTGTAACCGTGGTTATCGAAAAGTAAATGATCACCAAACTCTTCACCCTGGATGACTAACTACATCTGATTGTAAATTGAAGAGGGAATAATCACTGCTTTGGAATAATTTACTTTAGAAAATAAAATATATTAATATATTTAAATTTGACCAATATTTTTCAGTATTTACCTTGGGTAATAATGCATATGGCCAGTGTGGAAGATCTATTGTGGAAGGGGAAGATTATAGGTAAAATCATTTTTTAAAATTAAGAATGTAGTTATTATTGTTTACATTTGATGATTTTTTTTTCATCACATCTTTAAAATTTTCGGCTACTAAATAACACTAAAATAAATTTTCTAAGCAGTCAGCTGGGAGATTAGGAGATTAGACTGAAACACTTTTTATCTTATAAATTTTCTTTCTAATTTCAGCAAAAATCAAACTATTAATAAGCTGGCAGAAGTGCCGGGGGATATTATAAAGGTAATGAATACTCATTGCTAAATGTTTTTGGTAGCAGATTAACACTTAAACACCATAGTTTCATTGTAGATATTAAATAAACTTTATAGCAAAGTAACCTTCGTTTATTAAAAAAACTGTTTAAAAACAATATTTTTAATCTTATTTAAAATGTGTTCTTTAAATACATACCATTAACACAACTAATACATAAAGTTTCCCCCAAAACTATCAGGTGGTGTGTGGTCAAGACCACACCCTTTTTCTCACTCAGTCGGGAGAGGTATACAGCTGTGGTCTTGGAGCCGATGGACAAACAGGTTCAGCTTTAATGATATTAATTATTATTCAGTTAAGTACACACTATTTGATTCATTGGAACAGAATATTTATTTGGTACAGATAACAAAGAGAAATGATATTAATTTTTAAATAACGAAACAGTTTATTTAGCTACATTGAGACGCTCATGTCAGTTGATTAGGACATATTGTTGCCATTATTTGTTTTGTCACTAGTTTCTTTGTGTTTTAAAATTGGTGAGACTTATTGAGGACAGGTTCTGACGTTAAAAAGATATACCGGTATCAGCTTGTTGTATGATCAGTTTGCTTGTATTTAACACTAATAGTTTTCAATGAACATTTTTGAGCTCACTTCTGTTTAAAAAATTGAAACACAACACAAGGCCTGGAAAGTCACAAGCTTAAAAGTGAATGACTAGCCAAGTTTTACCAAAATATAATGCATCTTCATGCCAGAAGTGTTTATCTGCACTTGATTCCTGCAGTGATTTATCTTTTTTTTTTTTGTCTGTCATGAGAAAGCTAAAGGGTAGAGTTGATAAGAGCATTAGAAAGTAAAGTGCATTTTCATTCTCTCCGATTAGTATTAAGTTACAGTAGTCATTCACGGCATATTATTTGTTTTAATCATTTACATGAAATTTAAAATAAGTTGAGCAACATCAATTTATTCCTGATGTTCCCAATAAACGGAATCAAGTGGATACTTTGCTACGCATGACTTTCTTCTTTATATTCTTACTCTGTTATGTAGGTGTAGGCCACTACAACAACACATCAAAGCTGACACGCATCAAAGGAGACATAGACGGTGTCAAGGTCACCTCAGTGGGTTCAAGAGGTGACTGCACTTTGGCAGTTTCTGGTAGGTTGGTTGCTGTGTAATAATCAAATGGCCAGCTTTACATCAAGTGTGTATAGTTTCACAGAAATTGTAAATAATAGTTTTATGATGTAGTGAATCCCAACCGAATGTGCATCCAGTACAGGAACTGATCTCATACTGATTATTGACTGTGCCATGGTGATGGAAACAAAAAGCGAATTTGAAAAGTGTTGCGATCGACTAATAGCATAAACAGTTTAATGGCTTCGTTTAGTCTAGGAATAGCTGGTAACAACACAAAGATTAACATTTCATATGATTCTTTATTCAACTCCTTAGCGTACCTTCTTCCTTCCATCTCTCATCAACTGACTAATTACCAAAACCATTACAAATAACACCATCATCTCTCATACTCATTCCCAAGAAACTTCACCAATACAAACCACATAACAGCAGCTGCACGATAGATCTCAAAATCGAATAAGCTCACTAACAAATCAAGTATACAAAACACAAACCAAAAAAAAAAAAAATGCACTTATGGAACAAATCATTAACAGCAAGGTTAAGAGTAAAATAAATTGAAAGCATTGAAATGATTTCATCAGTCTTAGCATTTTGGCATCTAGCACTTCACATTTACATGAAAAAAATGGTTCACATCTTTTTCAAGATTTCATATGTATATTAATGTACTTCCTGACCAGAGAGTGGTGATTTGTTTGGATGGGGCAACTCTGAGTACAACCAACTTGGGTTGGTGACCAGCGAGACACAAGTTAATTTGCCGAGACACATTCCAGTACCACATTGTGGGAAGGTGATTAAAGCTGTTGCTGGTGGCTCGTCATGTGCTCTTTTAAATGGTGAGTGAAATTAAACCATCAGTGTATTCGGTAAACCATAAACCAGTGTTCCCCAAATGGTGTCTGCAGACTGGCCTGGTCAGGAAGCCTTGGGTTACCGTTCCGTAAGACATTTGTCAAGAAATTAGATGAAAATTTATGTTTAATTCTCATTTGAAAACAAATTCATAACTTGAGATTCTCTTAATCATAAAAATCTGTTTTTTAGCATATTTTTTCATTCACTGCGAGAATCTTGCCACCAAGAGAATGTCTACATGTCTGTGTTCAGCAAGTTGTAAAATTGTGATGGATTAAATTTAAGACTATTTGCTGCATTCTGTGATGATATGAAGGTTGAACACAAACAACTTCTACTGCGTGCCAAAGTACTCTGGTTGTCAAATGAAAAAGTTTTATTAAGAGTTTTAACTGGGAAGGGAGCTTACAGAATTTCTGAAAGAAAAAAACAGGTTGGTCAGGACACTTTGGAAACGTGGATTCGTAGCTAAGTTGGCTTACTTATCAGATATCTTTTGCCAGCTCAAATGAGCTCGTAATGATGGCTCTCAAACTTCAGAATGCCTGACAAAGCTAGATGGTCATTAACGAAACTAGAGGCATGGAAGGGTCGGCTGTAGATTGTTTTGCTATGATTCGCGACTTAACAGCAACCAACTGAATGCAGGGAAAGTGCTTGATTACACATCTCTACACAAGGCTTAAGGGTCATAACAGAAGTATTTACCAATTTAATTGACCCTTTTGAGTTTTGCTTTCCAAGAGAAGACTCATTTGGAGGTCAGTTTTCAAGATAAGTTTTTGCAATTAGCTGCTGACAAAGGATTTTCACCACCCCTATATCATTTTTATGAACTTTTTGGATTTGGATTCATGTCAAAGCTGAAGATCCTGTACATACCAAAATTGCCAGGTAAGTTCTTATCCCATTTCCTTCTGCAAAACTGGCTTTTTGTCATTGAGCGTTAAGACGAAGGACAGGAACAGAATGGATACTCGTTGTCCTTTGTTGGTACCGGTAGCTCTGTCTACACTCAAACCACGATTTCATTTGCTTGTCAATACAAAGCATGCCCACATTTCTCTTTAAATAATCCCTTGGTGTACCGGTATTCCAGAAACATCTTTGTCAGCTTCAGTTATATTTTAATGTTCATCTGCACAAGTATAAGCTTTGTATTTCAAATGAACTAGATGATGGATAATCACTCTTTAAGTCAATATTTTCACAAATGGCGTGAAATTCCATGGTTATTTGATGGCTGATTTAACTTGTGAAATAGTTCGGATGTGTAAGGTTTGAATTGTTATAGCTTTAACATGTTTGTCTTTGTAAGAAAATTATCTAGGTACTGAAAATGAAAATCTACAATGTAATAAAAAATAAACATTTCCATTTATTTGGATAAATAAAAGAATAATAATAATAATAATAATAATAAGTGGTCTTATATAGCGAGAACGAGAATTTCGTCTGTCTCATCTTATCTTGCTGATAAAATGTTACTGAAAGCGGATGATAGCTGTACAATGTTACTGAAAATGGATGATAGCTGTACAATTTTGTGTTGCAGATCAAGGTCAGGTTTACGTTTGGGGCTTTGGCATTTTGGGTAAAGGTCCAAAACTTGAGATGTCTTCCACTCCGTCATTGATACCAGAACCCATATTTGGTCGCAATGAGCTGTCACCCAACACTAAAATAGTTGACATTGAGTCTGGTCTTACTTATCTTGCAGCTAAAAATGGTATGTGGATTCACTGTCCTATTCGTTAATTTAAAAAATTTTGCTTACATTAGTTTCAAGTTACATAAAGTTCTAAATATTACCAACCAGTTTAAATGAATGTTATAAGATCAAAGTTCTGTTGGTTTAGAAATGCTGAGTTTCTTGTATGAAAAAAAAATGCTTCAGCTCTGTTAAAGTAAATAGATCTACCGACATTTAAGAAATGGATTCTTTCAGATAATGGAGATTTGTACACATGGGGTCGCAATAATAATGGCGTCTTGGGGCTCAACGAAGAAAAGAATCAGTTTTTTCCATGGAGGGTAAGTTTTCCTTTTGTTTATTTCATGTATCTTCTTCAGTAATCAATCAATGTGTGTGATTGTATGTAATGAAATTTCTTCAGTAATCAATCACTGTATGCAATATGTGATTAAATGTCTTCAGTAATCAATTTGTATGACTATGCAATGTCATGAAATGCAGACCTGTTTACTCTTACGATTTTGGCGTACAATGTACGATTTAGAGGTGCATATTTATATATCCTGTATGTTTATTATTTTTACTATTAAGATAATGTATTGAACAATTTTGTGATGATATTGTACGATTTTAAGAGTTTGAGGGTAAACAGGTCTGGAAATGAAATGTCTTCAATAATCAATCAATTTGTATTGCTATGCAAATTGTGATGAAATGTCTTCAGTAATCAATCAATTTTTATGACTATGCAATTTGTCATGAAATATCTTCAGTATTCACTCAATTTGTACAACTAAGCAATTTGTGATGAAATGCAATGTTCTGGAAAATATCATCAATATTGTGACCGCTAGCCAGAAGATGGCAACAAAATGGAGTGCATTATAAGGAGAAAGTTCAAAGTCATCATTGCTGCTGGCTGCCTCTCCCAGGTTTTACTATTACAGGTTAAGTAAGACCCTATGCTTTTTGATGTGCATTTGAAAACCAAGGGAGTCCTCCATCAAAATTGAATTATTCAATAAAAATAACAAAATCACTGAGGTTTTTTTTTGTTCTAAGGGGTGTCAAAAATTTTGCCCTGCTCTGGTCTGCACTAACCATAGCTACACACGCCACTAGGTAGCTTACTATTAACTTTCTCAAAAATTTAGGATTGTTTTCAGGCATTATGTGAGAAAATGAGAGTCAGTGCTTAAATTTGTTTTTTGTTTTTTTAATTTTCAGGTAGCTTTGCCCGCAGAGGCTGTCAAAGTAGCCTGTGGATTGGACCACATGGTGGCTTTATGTAAATCCTTCACCTGATGTTATTGTAATGATTAAGAATTCAAATTAAATCATTTTTACATAATAGGATGAGCCAACTTTCGTTTTTTTTAGATAAGTGACAATGCTCAGATTTTGAATGAACCCTTGTAAATGAGGTTTTAAAAAAAAACACCATAAATAATAAATCTTAGCCAAAAGAAAATGTTATTTAAATTTTGTCAAGCTGACCCCAATAAAATTGTAAAAACTTAAAATACCTTTCAAACCTCATATCTAAAATACTGTTATAGAAATATATATGCAACCAATTTTAATAATAAATACCACTGCACAATAAAGAGCAATAATATAATTATTCAATTAAGTTGTCTCAGACTTGGATCTAGTGTTTTATTCATCAAGAATTCTGTACAATGAGGCATCTCTCAAATGATGACTGATCATAAAACATTTCAAGACTATGTAGAACTAATGACAAAATGCCAGACACAGGTTACTAGGGACAAAAATAAATAGCATTCATTAATTACAGCATTTTACTTGCAAATTTGTGTGACATGTTAGTTATGCTGACACAATCAGCGTTTTGGTTAGTGTCCTGATAAATCCACCCGATAAATCCGATACTTGACAAGAGAGGAACTATAAAGAGGCCTATCTATGTGTAATGTTAGATACAATATCAAATCATACATCTTGAAAAGAAGAATTGGAGTGAACAGTGAGTTAATGACCTCATTCCAATCACTGTGCATTCACAGAATTTGGGAGAAAAAATTACAGAATAAGAACAGCCATAGTTGTCAGACAATACCAGATGGTGATGGATTTCAATTTTGAAATTTACAGCACTTGATACTTGGACATTTTAAAAAAATCTCATATAAACCATATTGAGAGTGACTTGGGTACAGGATAATACAGTCTTCATTTAAGTTACTCGAATTTTTTAAAAAATTTTTCCCAGCACAAGCCCAATGAGAGTGAACTCTGTTTGGTACATAAATAGACTTAATAATCAAATAATGGGACACTAATCAGAGTCTATTTTACTCTATTTAAAGAATCTAAATGTAGTCTGATCATCCAGCAAGCTGATTATCATTATAATTATACTAAGTATCAGTGTGATGAGTCCATTGCTGAATACGAATAACATTATTAAGTCTTCTACAAAAGAAAGAAGAAAAAAAAAATTGAAAACAATAAAAGCACTAACAATTAAAAAATATTTTTACAAATTTATTTTAGTGAGAGAGTATTTCATTTATCTATACCGTGATCTAAACAAGTATACTGCTATGTGGAATGATGGAGAATACATTTAAGGTTTCAATATTTTGGATTATTCTGGTATTATTTTAATAAATAAGTATTATTTTTATTTTAAAAAATAAGTCTCCCAGAGAAGGTGAGTAGATTTGTGCATAATGTGCAGCTCATAATGCAGCAATACAACAAAAACACTGCATCAGTTTTAATCAAATGCTTATGAGATTATCTTGCCCAAACTCTAAGCCCGGACAAGAATAGTTTTTCATTACCGAATGTGTCGTACTCGGTGAATCGATTTCGACACAAATAAAAAACAACAAAACAATACCGTTATTCTTCCGAGTTAAAAATATTGTTAAAATAATTAAATTGAACACCTTACTTTTGCTCAAGGGAGAAACAGTAGAAGGAAGAAACAAAACAAAAAGGCTGATATTTTTCATCTTACATTTGTAATGATTTGTGTACAAAGTACAATTTTTGGCAGACTTTCTTCAAATGTACACATCAAAAGTGAACAAAAAAATCACTCCCCTATACATGCAGTGATAAATCAGCACAAAAATAAATTATCTTAATAACAAATATGTATACTTGTATATGTTTCTCTGAATGTCTTCACCAACCTTTTTTCCTCTCTTTATTTAAGGCTCCATTATCAAAACAATCAATTCAACACATGTGTATCAGTCCTGGATTATCTAAACCCAAGGGTTACATTACATCAAATTGAAAAATGATACTGGAAACTAATGTCAATGAGCAGCTTATGCTTTTAGAGAAGTAAAAAAATAATATTTTGTATAACAATTGAGTAAGGTGATTTTTGGGTCAATCCAAAGAAAAGGTCTAGTCTAAATTTTGTTTTGATAACGGTAATTTATACATTTTAAAGCTATCATTTAAAATAATGTGGTTTCAGACTCACCATTTTAAAAAAAAATGTTTTAAACATTATTTTAAAAAATAAAAAGATATAAATTTCACATTGACTTTATAACTTTATATTTAAATACGGTAATCCAAATGTTTAAAAATTCTAGTCTAACGGTTTTATATTATCTGTACCAGTATATAAAAAATATGATAAATCCACAACAGCAGGAGGGCAGTTCAGTATTTTTACTCTCTTAATTAAGCATTACTACACATAGCAATTGTATCACCATCACCTTCAATGCATTCACTCCAACAAACAAACAAAAACACACAAAAAGTGAGATAAATATTCTCATAGAGATTTTATCACCAATAACAAAATGTACATAAAAGAAAGTTGATAAACCCAATGACTGGTGCCATGACCCACAACTACTCAAATGATGACTAAAACTTCACACAAGTAATGGAGCCTGGCTACTCAAAAGAAAAAACAACAAACAAACATGGACACAAGAAGTTCAACACTAGTAACTTGAGAAATCGATGGAAAAAATAATAAACACAAGATACATTGATATAATTTGATTTAATTTAAGTGGAGCTGTTAGCCTCAACAACAGTTTCAACAGCAGACTTTTTTTTTTACTCAACATCATAAAAAATAGGTTTGTTAACACACTGGGTGAATAGTTTTCTTTCTGATAGTAAATGTCATCAAAGTGTAATTTTTTTTCCCTCACACAATTATTTACAAAGAGTGAACAAATTTCATCACAACAAATTTTACAAAGCTGGAATAGGCTATGTTAGCTTCAAACAATGCCTGGTATTTAATAATTTGTTTGCAACCTTCAACGAGATGCTGTCTGATCAGCATAAGTCAAAGATTTCATAACGCCAGAAAAATATATTATCTCAAATTTCAGGTGGCAGATAAACTAAGGAGCTCTGAGATACAGTGGAACCCCGCTATAATGCGCCCCGCCATAACACGAATTCGGATATAACGCTGTCATAGCATGGCTCCCGAAATTTGAAATTCATTTACTCCATCATGTCTAAGTTCTTTGAAAATTTTATCCATTGCTTGGAAAGCCATTTTTTAAAGCGAAAAAAATCACAACTTTTCAAAATATTTTAATGTTTTTAATGCACAGTAATAACTTATAAATATATTAGCCATCGATTATTTTGAATATATCTTAATTAATGCATTCCAGTTAATATTCATCTGATGATAAGCCGATTTTTTTATCATTGTACATGTATACACGTATATGGTCTCGGAAAAAAATTGAATATTGTAAAACCGCTTCTAACGCGATCCGATTTTATGGACCCCGATCATCGCGTTATAGCGGGATTCCACTGTACTTTGAAAGATTCTTGATGTGACTAATGACCTTATTCTTTAAATCCCAATATTCTGAGCCACTAACACTCTAGCGTCATATTTTCGCAAATTAAGTTTATCTGAGTAGAGATACACTTGACATGAAATATGAAGAGCTAGGGAATGAAATAGAAGCAGAAGCTTTAAGATTAAGCCAATCAGAATTTGTTTAGATCTTAATCATCACCTGCCCTTACTTACTTACATAAAATCTAAACATAAGGCACTAAGTCAAACTTAATGGAAAAGTTTATGATAGATTCTTAGAGTCATCTGATTTAAGTTACAGTCAAATAGGATTATTCACCGATCAATTCTATCTCGAGATCAAAAAATTTTTTTTAGCCTTCTTTATAAAACTTGAAGAAGACATGGGCATTTACTTTTGTGCTTTAATATTCTATAAAATGGAAAATAAACTATTAATTCCTTACTGATCCGCGACCCCTGTAAAAAAACCAACAAAAACACTATCAGTTATACTGCACATGGAAGACACCACTATAGATGTAAGCCGAACCATGTGTGAACAATATTCCTCACAAACAATTAAGTAGATCTTTCCTTGAGTTATAATATGAACAAATAAAATGATATGAATTTCATGTTAACCAGCTACTATAGAAGTAAATCATTCCCATCCTTCAAAATTATTTCTTCCCCCTCACAGAATTTATCTTATCTTGATTTCAGTTTTCTATTTACAATCTGCATGATTATTATGTGACCAAATTAGATCCACAGTTTTCGATGAGCAGCTTATACTTACATTTAATTCTCTAAAATTTAAATGCTTTTGAGTTATGTGAATACTTGTATTTATATTAGCCATATATTTTTTTTATAACATGGGAAACAAAGATTTCAGTTAGTAATAATATTTTTCACAAACATGAAGCAAATAAACGGAGTACAGCTAAAAGTTTTGTTGCCTTTTCTTCTTTGCATCTATAGCTTCCAGTATTGGTTGTCTCTTGGCCTGATACCTGGCTCGCAACTCTTCTATTTCTCGCTCCATCTCTGGATCTAGGTCTGCTAATCGTCTTTCCAGCTCTTCAAATGCTAATGTTCGTAGCTAAAATAAGCAAGACAGGAATTTTCATTAACCTTAGTAGATTTGGTTTTCTTAAAAATATAAAATTTTACTTTTTTAAAAACACACCAACAAATGTGTACTATTCTCATTGAAGCAGTAAAGAATTTTTCAACCTACATAAATAACATACAACAAACTACAACATATAATAAACTATTTACTTGATAAATTTATGAAAAACCCACAAAAATTAGAGCTGAAATAAAACTTTCCATAAAACTTACTGCTAGCTTTTAAATTACTTAAGATTGGAACAAGTAGAGTTAATTACTTAAGATTGGAACAAGTAGAGTTAATTACTTAAGATTGGAACAAGTAGAGTTAATTACTTAAGATTGGAACAAGTAGAGTTAATTACTTAAGATTGGAACAAGTAGAGTTAATTACTTAAGATTGGAACAAGTAGAGTTAATTACTTAAGATTGGAACAAGTAGAGTTAATTACTTAAGATTGGAACAAGTAGAGTTAATTACTTAAGATTGGAACAAGTAGAGTTAATTACTTAAGATTGGAACAAGTAGAGTTAATTACTTAAGATTGGAACAAGTAGAGTTAATTACTTAAGATTGGAACAAGTAGAGTTAATTACTTAAGATGGAAACAAGTAGAGTTAATTACTTAAGATGGAAACAAATAGTTTTTAAAATATTTATTTAAATTTAGTTCCCATTTTAAACAAAATTGAATAATTCTATCCTCAACACACACACAAAAAAAGAGGTTAATAATTGGAAATGAATAAATTAAATTTTTAGAAGTGATGAATGTTTTAAGTTTTGCAAAGCTTTTAGCCAGGCACAAACTAAAATAAAACCATCAGTCTCCAAATCTTATGCTCAAAACACCAATGCACTTACAAATTCAAAGTCTCCATCTATGAATGATCTTTGGAAGTGATGAGGCGGAGTTATTTGTTTAGGGGGTGCCTGTTGGGGCTGAGGCTGTTGAGGGGGCTGAGGCTGACTTTGCGGCTGCTGATTACTGTTTTTTGCTGCAGAGGCCGTTGTCTTCAATTTCTCACGGTCCTGTTTGTCAAAATGGTCTAAGAATGATGGACGATACGGGTCTTTGCCCCCTGTGGCTGTGTCATGCCCTTAAAGAATGCAAAATTGAAAACAAAATTTATAAAAACTCATTGATGATGGATTTTTACAACTGATGGTCAAATCAATCAATTTTTCCCTTTCCGTTAATTAAATTGTATTTTTTCCAATGGCCCCCAGCATGCGATTAAGTTTTGCTTATGAAACAGTGTAAAGAAAATAACTTTAATGCTGACTTATATTTTTACTGTTATACCAACACGTACGTTTCATGGTGCCTGCTGAATCATCCGAGTCATCATTAATAACCATAGTTCCAAGTTCTGACTCTAAAGTGGAGGACTCACTACTGATGACAACTGTGCCACTTGGAGTGAGAGTGCCTGACGGAAAAAATGTATTTAATTAATTAGATAAATAAGATATATTTTTTTTTTTGCAAGTGAGCCGTTTTTTAAAAATGATCAATATTGGTAAACAATATGAGTTGCTTAACTCCAATTTTTTTCTCCCTTTATCAACATCAGGGAATGCCATAAGAACAACACAAATTTAAAATAACTCCAATTTTTTTCTCCCTTTATCAACATCAGGGAATGCCATAAGAACAACACAAATTTAAAATAACTAAATTTTTTCCACTGCATAAATTACTTGCCCTTGTCTACAAAAAAATATAAAATACTCCAGCAAAGAGGAAAGAAGATAAGAAATACCTTCTGGTAGTGGTTTCATTGTCCCTTCTTGATCTGTCTTCTTCACAATTGTCCCATCTGTGTCATCTTCATCTCCCTTTGACATAAAATTAGCATGTTGAAGGTTTAATGAAAACCCAGCCAAATCAAGAATATTTTTCAGTTTACCATAAAACTACAACATTCCCACAAAAAAAATGTTTACTTGTTAAAAAAACTATACAGAGTCATCACCATTAACTACAATATATTACAAAAACATACAGAGTCATCACCATTAACTACAATATATAACAAAAACATAATGAGTCATCACCATTAACAACAAAATATTTACAAAAACATACCGAGTCATCACCATTAACTACAATATTTGCTTGAGCCTCTTGAATTTCTTTGGCTTCTTGAATCATGTGAGATAATACTGAGCAGGAATCTCTGTTCTTGATGAAATCATGCTGCAAAAAATTTGACAACCCAGATTAATATTAAGAAAATAGGTTACATATTCAATTTAATTGCATATATTTTTGTTAAACAAACTTGGAAGGAAAAAAATTCTGTGTATTCTAATAAACAGCCAAACACTGAGAAGAGCTTGATGATGACATAATAATTTGATATCTGAAACAGGATACTTGAAATTCATATCTTGTTTCTATGAACATTTAAAATCAATTTATTATTGCCAGCAAGTTTCATAAGTAGAGCTAAATAATGCAATGTGAATTTAAAATTCAAAACTGTGTACTCCTTTATAAACAGTGACTTTTCAGGGTGACCCTATTGACTACTTAGTCCTTACCCAATGATGTTAAACACAGACTGACGCAAAGATTCATGTTGTATTAAATCATTGTCAAGATTTCAAAATGAAGCAGTAGAGGCAGAAGGTAATTTAAGCAGTATTAAAAAAAAACAACTTATAATATAATGTAACCCTAATTTTATATGTGTACCTCTAAAAGTTCAGCAGCTGTAGTTCTCAGTTCTGGATTCTTTACTAAACATTTTGAAACAAAATCAATAAATTCTGGTGTCCATTTGTCTGGTTTACGGAAAGACGGGGGCGGTTTAGTGGGGATCATAAATATTGCCTGGAAAAAAAAAACTCCATTTTTTTAAAAGAAACAAAATGAATTTTAATGTTTAACTAGAACAAAGAAATCAAAGTTAAAATATACGTAGCAGGTTTAATAATGGGGGGGGGGGGGGGGGAGGGAGAAAAAAAAAGATCTACCTACTCTCATAGGATGTATATCACCATAAGGGGGTTTCCCTTCAGCCATTTCCAATGCTGTAATACCTGGAAATAGTTTAAAATGTAATCATACAAATATTCAGATGTTATGAGCTTTTCAAATGTCAGTCTTCATCTTTCAGTCATCTAAAGTAGCTGGACTTTAGCTTGAGTTTATCAGATGAGCACTGGGTTCCAGGCTCCAACTGAATGGTTTTGACTTGTCAATTAAAATAGTTAACAAAATTAGATCCCTAGCTTTTAAGTAAAGAATGACAAGAGCTTCAGACTGAGCCACTTTCCCTGACTTAGAAAACAAAGATCTATGAACATCTTTTTTGCAGCTTCTCACCTAAACTCCAAATATCAGCTACACAATCATAACCTATTTCTTGTATCACCTCTGGGGCCATCCAGTACGGGGTACCTATCACAGTATTACGTTTTGCCATAGTGTCCTGTGGATGGGAATAACATGCCAACATTAAATTGGAATCCAAGTAGTGCAACAATGTTTAATTTATTCCTCAGTTTTTAACAAGTACTTAGAATTTTATTTAACTTTTGCACAGCCCCAAACAAAACACTCCCTAAAAAAGTACTCACTGTTAACTGACCGGCCACACCAAAGTCTGCCAACTTTGCATGGCCTTCTGTGTTTAACAAAATGTTGCCTGCTTTGATATCTCTATGTATTTTCCGCCTGGAATGAAGGTACTCCAGACCTTTGAGTGTGTAGAACAGGATAGTTGAGATCTCATCCTCTGTTAGCTGAAATAAACAGACTCGATTAAAATTTGCTCTGATTTAAAAATCAGGAGATATCCTTTATATGTCTGACATTACCAACACATTTTTGGCCGCAAATAGCACATTGCATACAATTGTTTTTACAAAATCATGCTAATCTTTTCCAATTCATACAATTCTCAGAGACAAATCAGTTTCCTTTAATTGTTTATAACACAACATTTAAATGACAATCAATCCACCATTAGTGCATAGGTATTTGATGGTGCATTCCCATTCTCTAGCTATCTCTGTTAAATGTTATTAGATGTCAGCAAAGTGTTGGTGAACCTTATTTTTGGGGGTAGGTGGGGTGGGGGGGGGGGTGTTAAATAAGAAAGCTAGAGGAAGAGTGGCCCAAAAAAAAAAAAAAAAAAACAAAAGAAAAGGGGACAAAAAAAAAAAAAAAAAAAAAGAGTGGTGAGGCAAAAATCCATTTTTGGTGAAAATGCCATTGGATCAGGGTTGACAACTATAATAAAATAAAATTTACAGGAAAATATTTTAATTTAACTCTCCTCAATAATTTATAAATACATATTTAATATTAAAAAAAAAAAAAATTATGAAGGTATATATGTCAAGCATGAGGCTTTGACCCATTTATCACTTTCGGTAAGCATGTTGAGTTCACACACACACACATATATATATATATATATATATATATATATATACTTTTTGTTGAAATTGATTAAGGCTAAATAATTTTTTGATGAGATTTTTTACAGATAGCAAGCTTCCTTGCCTTTTGCAGCCATAATACTAAGTGATACATAATAATTAGCACTTCCCCACATGTCCAAGTGGCAGACACAAAAGTGAATCCTCTATGAAATTGTATTTTATAAACCTACCGTTTTGTTTCTAAGTCTCATGATATCAGACACGGACCCTGCTCCGCAATATTCCATGACAATCTAAAACATAAATAGCATTGTTAGAAGTCACATAGATGAACTCTCAGTCATTTGCAGCACTCTGGCACAGAATCTAACTATTAATCTGTTTAGTGATTTTTGTGACATACTGAAAGAGCTCGATAAAGATGCCTGACTATAAATCATTAGGTAAGGCCATGGTCAATAAAACAATAAACTAAACAACCTATAAGACATTTGTTTTATCAAATTATATTTTCCTTCACTTGATGATAAGGATGATACAAGCAGTTATAAAAAAAAACAACGATTGGTCACAAACCCATAAGTCTGTATTCTTAAAATAGCTTCCATAGTATTTGACAATGTACTGAGAGTCACACTGCTGCATTATGGAAATCTCCTTGATGATCTCCTGGAGGTCTGTGTCCACAGGCACCTGCTTGATGGCCAGCACCTGGCCAGTCTCCTTGTGGAGGGCTTTATAGACACTGCCATAGGACCTGCATCAGAAAAATGATGGTTCTGCAGTGACCCATATCAAGTAACTTTACGTGGATTAACAATGGAATGAACTGTCACTACATAAAAGATACAACAAAGAGGTTAACAAAGGTTGGGCATAGGATTGGAAAACGAGTAAGAGAAGGTTGCAAGAGACCAGAAGGGGTGGAAAGATACTAGTGGCCTATCGCAAGAGACCAGAAGGGATGGAAAGATACTGTTTAATGGCCTATGCTCCATTGGGAGTTTAAAAGGCAACAGAGAGGTAGATGAGGGCTGTGGTTAGGATTGGAAAATGAGTTGGAGAAGATTGCAAGAGACAGCAGGGGTGGAAATATACTTTTTGCTGGCATATGCTCCTTTTGAGTTGAAAAGGCAAAGAAACGCCTTCAGCAGATCAACAATTTTAACAAGGATTTTCCTGGAAACCATTCAAATTGAAACGTACAATGGAAATCCTAACAATCAATCTAGTTTTCAAGAATTGAAACCAAGAGGTTTTCTGAGTGAAAATGATTCAGAATGGCTGCCGGGGGGGATTAAGAACTAAAGTTTAAAAGATTGAACTTTTAACAACTCTGGATCTGGAGATAAATAAATAGTATTCATTTAATCAAATCAAATAATGCTGAGTAAATGAGACACAAAATACCAATTAATATTAAGAACACTAAGTTGGTATTTAATGATGTCTTTAAACACTAATGTAGGAGTAATGAGTTAATATGAATATCAAGCCTGCTAGTAACTAATAACAATAGTAAGGGACTAGTAAAAAATAAAAATGCATTTTTTTAAATTATAAGAGCAGCGACCTGAACAACTTTAAAGAAGAAAATAAATTGGCATTAAAAATATGTAAATTTATGTCAGCAATGACTGTCTAAAACTTAAGTTATGCAGAAAATTACTTTGAAAATTTAAAAAAAAAAAATTAAAAAAAAAGTATGTCTCTCTTATAGCTTTTGACTGCATATACCACCAGAGGGATGGTGAAAAAATAAACTGAATATCAGCCATTAATTAGTGCCCATGCAAACACAAAAGTAGCATTATTTTTGTGTGTGTTAAATTTCAAACCATTCATGGAATGGAATTCAGCCATGTAACTGATTTATATCACATCCTGCCCTGTGTCAACTTTGACAAGGATGTTTAAATTCACAGCTCAAGTTTAATTCTCTATTTAAAAGTAGGAAATATAAGAAAGATCTCTGCTTGAAATAACTCTCATATGAGACTTTTAAAATAATTACTAACTTGAAACCTTAAATCTCAAGCTTTAGTTAGTCATACTCTTTATCTTTGTGGCTGCTGTCTACAATCCCACATACATACAACATTTTGAAATACTTGACAGTAAATATTAGTACCTTAGACAAATTATGAAAAATAAAATATTAAACTTAAAACTAAATGTGGTACAGTCTGTATTACGGTACAGCTTCATGCATGCATAAAACAATAAAAAAAAAAAAAATCTGCCATGCTGACACAAGGATAACTTTGCATTAATATTCACAATCATGCAGCTGATGTGTGAGGACAATGTGATTACAATTTTAAAGATTTGATAAGAGAAGCAGGAAAACAACAGGCATGGGGGATTAGGTGTTCATGCACATTAGGTTTAGTTAACAGAGACCATCTGAGACCTTACACTAGATGTATCTTACATTTTCCTATATATTAGGTTTATTAAACAGGGACCATTTGATACCTTGTTAGTTTAATCTTACTTATTGCTACACATTTAAAAAAAAAAAAAAATTTGAAGGACTGATTTTTTTCCTGGTGACTTAAGTGGGTGTTACTACTCACTTGCCAAAGGTATAGTGTTCATTTTGTATTAATATATATTTTGAAATATTTACTTCATCACTCAGCATGTGATCTAAAAATATATTTTCTGCTGAGAAAAACCCCACAAGAAATAAGTTTAAAATATTCTAGAATTTCTTTTTTTTTTAATAATCAACCCAAGTTAACATGACCTGAAGGCATTTAATAAATGTACCACTGATATTCTAAACTGAAGCAAAATTACTGCCACCTCCACACAAAATGACAAAAGATGTTCAAAAATTAAATCAAATAAATGCAATAGGTGGGGTAAGAAGTATAATTGTCCCTTATTAGGGCAAACAGTTTCTGGAACTAGTATTATGAAAAACATCATAAGCAGGAAAACTTTTTATTTCTTTGTCTTAGTTGTAAGCATGAGATTCTTGAATAGATTCAAATTACTATAAATGAGAGACCCAACATATTTTCATAGTTAAAAGAGGTCTCCATTATGCTTTGGTATTTTACCAAAATCTTTTTTGTCCTCGTTTTGCCTGGGCGTTGCCCCTTCCCCCCCAGCAACTATATTAATAAATTAAAAAATACATAGCATCATCTATACTTTTAATTAACGTATATTAAACTTATTAATTAAAAAGTGATTAGAAACTAACAATACTGTACCAAATCTTACCCTTCTCCTAATTTTTCAAGAATTTCCAAGACCTCTTCAGGTGGCCTGGTTAGACTTTCCTCACTCAATTTAGTTATTCCATTACTAAATGCCTCATAATGAAAGGAAGCGGAATAGGGAGGAAAATGCAATGAATAAAAGAAGTAAAAAAAAGAAAATACAAGCAAAGCAAATAAAAAAACAATAAAGAACAAATTAATACTACATCATGGCTACGTGAGAAAAAACACTGAGAATAATCCTGAAAAAAACCCACAAATAAGATGTAAGTGGGAGGGCATCTTTTACATATCAACTTAGTTTTATTTTCTTAGTTTAGTCTCTTGTCATTATTTGTATAATATTTAATATGCTTGAAAATTATAACATCAAGGCAAGGAATTTCACTTACATCCAAATAAAGCTTCTGTGAAGCAATTAACATTAATTTATACATTTGACACCTTAAGGAATTCTTAAATGAAAGTTTAAGTTATGTTGAAAAAAAATTATTTAAATTAAATAATTTAACAATGACAAAGGTCTTTATTATTATACAACATGATGAATCAAAATCCAAATAATAAATTTATTCATTTTCAACACCAAGCCAAATGGGAAAGGACTGAGAAGATTCTTGTTGACTTAAACATTCATGCAGGGAAGCCAAGGGTCAAGCTAAATGCAGGCAGAAAACAATGTGTTACCCATAAAAAAGCAGACACATGCACTAAGTTAGAGAAGAAAAAAAACAGCTATAAAACATGAAGGAGCATTGACAAGCTTAAATCCAGCAATATCTTACCCCCGACCGATTTTACAAATTATATCAAAAACTTCATCTGGCTGTTTGGCAAGGTTGTCATCACTCAGCCGCTTTAATTCACTATGGAACATGAACATAACAACTGATTGACACTTTGATCAAATCTTGCGTATGGTGATTAAAACAATTGTATAGTGTAGGCCTAGGCCTCACAAATTTTGTCATTTCCTTCAATAGCCTTTCTGGGTAGCTTATGTTATAAATAACTTTGCTATTTGTCAAATTATATTTTTAAAAAACAAAACAACAACAATATAACAATGCATCTCAAAATTTAACTTCTACACTAGCATATGTAAAAATCTGCTGCTGGTACAGCAGTCTGCCTAATGATTTTTAATCAAACAAATACAGAGCTAAAAAGTGAAATCTTTTGAATACCGAACTATGCTCGCTAGTTTTCCTGGGGAACCTCTATGTATACAGTGGAAGACATCGCCTGCCTTGCCTCTGAGCACATCTTAGGCTTAAGGCACTTGGCTTCCACAATATATCATTCAAAATTATATTTGAAATTTTGTCACAATAGGTTTTAATGCTTTATTATATAAACAATCCAATGTGAAATCAAGGTATTATTAAAGTAATATAATATATGTAATAAAATATTAGCCTAGTAGAATTCTCTCCCATTAAACATCCCCAATATAAAGACCATCACAGCCTTCAAAACTGTCCTCAAGACCCATCTCTTCAAACTGTACCATACCAACTCATTCTCACCCACTTCTGACTGATAAACAACACTCGATTCTGCTGGGTGCTGTCCATGGCTAGACAGGGGTAGATAGTACTTGGGTGGGTGAGGTCAAGTTTATAACAATTGTTTTTTAATGCATACGTTTCTGTAATTGCTAATTTTTATGTGAAGCGTAGTGAGCCTAGCAATAGGCTGGGGTACTGCGCTTTATAAAACCACCTAATAATAATAAAAAGTGAGATCGAATTGACTTGAGTCTTAAGCATCTGCATTGCCACTAATTAAGATTACATCTACATACCTTGAGTAACATTGGACTGATTGGATAGGCCTGAATGTGAAACTCGTTTAACTTAATAACAAAAATGAGACAATTTATAGTATTTTACTATTGCTTTTCGGTTATCTACCACTTCAGCGTCTGTCTGTTATTCAAAAATCATGTTGTTCCGGTTTGATGTGTTATTTAAATGGTTATTTTTTGCCTTGTTAAGATACAATTCTGATTCAAATAAATGGAATTGTTTTTTATGATTTGTACATGTTTATTTTATCACGAATATATTATAAATAATCCAAAACAAAATTTTAAATTATTTTAGAGTTTATGCATAGTTCTCCCCAAGGTAACAAGAAAGTTCTTGAAAATATCATCTCCATGAAAACAATTGACCCACATGAACTCATGCAAATATGAAACTTCAATGAAAGGCAAAATTATGTGTGTGCACACAAGTGTTATTTGGATCTTCAAAATTTTGATTGATGGACCACAACAGAGTGTTCATGGATTCCATGTCTGATTCTGATCTATCTGGTTTAAACTTGAACTTTGCATGATAAACCGCCCATCCATCCAATTTTCAATAAATAAGTAGACTAGAACTAGAAGGTCTATGTCTACCCACTTCTGTAAACTTCAGTCTGGCACTTAACCAAGAAAACAGCCCCAACCCTCTCTACACCACTGAAAACCCAATGGCCCTCTCTCCACTGTACTATTAACAGACATCAATAAAAGAATAATAACAAGCAGCAGGCAGTTTAAATCTTAAATCCCTCTTCTTCAAATTCAAGCAGGAACAACACAATTTTTTAATAACCGACACTGAATTGGTAGAGCACCTGCTATTTTTGCTAAAGGAACTGTGTGAACGTTACTAAACAATTAATTTGTCTTATCAGTTTTCAAAAACAAGTTTGTTTGGTGGGGCTAGCTAAGAAAAAGATTGAGAAATTGAATACTCAGAAGTCAGAAGAGAATAGTTAAGTACTCAGACTCAGAATAGGCCGTAGTTATGTACACATTTTAAAGAAACCGGCCAAGAATTCACCTTTGATTCGACATTCTCGGGCATGCAGATTAATACTACAAATCATTGCTGATTAAGAGTCAACCATAATTTGGTTGACAATTTTTTAAAGCCTAAAAATCCAATGTGCTGCCTCTTTATTGTTTGGTTTCACTCGTCTTTGCACTATCAGGATATCTCGTTCATTCTCGGATTTAGATTTCCTGTACGAGATATAAAATAAGTGGCTTCGCTTTTTTGTATGTACGGCAATATTACCACTGGAGAAAAACAAAAGACATATTACTAAGCATTTATTATTATGGTAAGTAGAATCAGGAACACGTATTTTGTTTTTAAAATTATATATATTATATATATATATATATATATATATATATATATATATATATATATTTATAAATATAAATATATAAAAATATAAAAATATAAAAATA